AGCAGAGAGAACACCTGGTTGATCCTACAGCATCGCTCCCTTACTGGCAAAACGGTTGCTTTGTAGATGCTCCCTCACCAGTAAGCAAGATACTGCAGTGTTTTGGCCTCGAGGGATGCCACAGAAGCAGGTCAGTGTCCTTTTAATGATCCTATTACTGGCAACCTAATGCCTATGACAGGTTTGCTAGTTTGAGACACTGGAGTCTTGTTGAATGGTTATCTGCAGTAAAATCCAAATGGGGGAACTAAGTCATGAGGCAAGGTCACCATGATCGATAATAAGAGTGGAGACAGCGATAAAAACCTAACAGTGATTACAAACCTTTTCCTACTCAGCTTAGGCTGAAGATCCACTTTAAATTACGACATTACAAATGCTTTATCTACAATATTTAGTTCCCAATCGGGCAAAGTATATAACCTGCTTCCTAGGTGCGCTGTAATGCTAACCTCAATGTTGGACAGGGGGCCCCCCAGCATACAGCCGTTTGAACACCTTACCTCCCTATGCATTCCTCTTTCCAGTACCTGCCTCATGGAAATGCTGGGAGATGGAGAACAGGCCCTTGCTAGCAAAGCGGCCATCTCCTTTCTATCTGTGGTGTTGGGTGCCCATACGCCAAAGAGGGGGTGTCCTGTCCCATCAGGAACTGAAGACTCTAAGTATAGTGTATACTGTAAGTGATAATTCTTTAAATACAGGAATAATGTATACTTTCCATGGACTTTTCTTATCGCAAACTGTAGAGACAGCTCAGTCAGCATGCACATTTTATGGTCACTCTGTAAGTTTTGAGAAGGTCACGTAATACCAAACATAAAACATACATAAGCACCGGATGTGAGGTCAAATAGACACCACTTTGCCATCAGTGAAAGCGTAGACATTTTGTTTACACAAATTTTTGTGCTTACCATAAAATCTTTTTCTTGTAGTCCATTGAAGGATACAGGAATATAGTATGTTCCTAGATATTTGGGTTATACTGTTGCCTTTTGAGGTTTGGACACTGGCAAACAAAATAATTTAGCCAGCTCCTGTATAACTCTGCCTCTAACAGTCACTCCAGTTTTTAGAGCAAGCAGTAGACAAGGCCATTACACAGTGGAGTGGGACCTGTGTAGATAAGGAGAATCCACCCAGAATCAGAGAAAGACTAGAATTTCCACCCCTTCCAGAGTTCAGCAAATCTTTTCTGGAACTTGGCAATCTAAATGAGTGCTAAGTGATGTACATTGGCCGAATTTCACACTCTACAACTTAAGTTAGAGTAATTGAAAAGTACTAAGAGACAACACGGAAGGGGGAACCCTGTCCAAAAACCTAAAGAGGTAAATGGGAAAGGGCCTGCCATACTCAGAGTGTGGATGATAAGCTTTGGCTTAGCAAGAACTGTAAGAATCTAGAACACTGACTCGTTTCAGTGAAGGTCTCCTGGGCAATCCACAATGGGGAATTTAGGAAAAAAGGGCACTAGAGTGAAGTAATAGACAATGCTGATGGTAGAGTATAACAACTACTGCAAAATTATGACGTTTTAGGCAAGGGAACAATGAAAACTGATCCCTGTAGATCTTAGCAGGATACAAAATCCCTTCAGAGATGGGTAAGGCCTTATAAGAGTTAAGCATCACAAGTCAACTTTTTGGAAATGGACTCCATTGAAGAAGCCAAACCAACTGTGAGGTAGCTCCAGTGCTTCAGCCCCGCTGGCTTTACTCAGTATTTAAATGCTAAGAGATTGGGTCACACCAGAGGTTGTGCCACAGCTCTGGACCTGAACAGAGGTCTACAGCTAACATCCACAGAGGTCTGGAAAGCACCACAGTACAGAGCCCAGTGTATGAAGGTAATATTCCCAGGTTGGCCCTGAAATCTTCAGTTTAGCAAGGTTGAGATACAGACTCCAAAGCTGTTCCTGAGGATTTACTGATTCGGGTAGCTGTTATAAAGAGATTAGCCTAAAGTGGGGTTAAACTCCAAAACAATAATGTGTTATATTGCAGCTTACCAATTAGATGGGATGGCTTCATTAAGGGTTTTTTTAGGCCTTTTTCCTTTTATAGTATTTTCACCTGGTATTTCAGCCAGTGAGTCTGTTATTTTTTTAACTTGATTTAACAGGACAAGCTGGCTCAAAAAAGTGGCAGTTAGAGGGTTGAGACAAACACTGAACACTGAAAAGGGTGCTTAAAATGGCAGATTTTACTTGCTTAAATAAAAACTTTATCCCAAAAAGGAAAAAAACCTGCTCCTTTAACTGCAAGTTATTTACTGCTAGGGAATTTAACACTACCCTCTCCCAGATTGACAATGCTGATGTCTAAAGGTGTCTCTGTTGCGCCTTCATTTAGGGTTGTGACACCCTAAAACAGGAAGTGAATTACTGACCAGATCACCAGATGACAATATAGGAAAAAACCTTAAAAAATAAAACAAATGCAGCCACTACATTGAAGGATCGGTAAGCCGCAATAAAAAAAAAGTTTTGGTTTTGGGTTTAATACCGCTTTATGCAGTGTTTCACTAGTTTCAGTCTTGATTGAAGTCAGGGAAGAGAAAATATCTATGGCAAATTTAAAATTAATTAAAATAATTAAATATAATAATAAAGTAACATTTTATGTAGAGTTTTTCTCAGAAGACCTGTAGAAAAAGTGTCCACCCTCTTAGGACACTAGAAAAAAAACCTGAGGCAAGATGATTGGTGGCGTGGTTATATGGAAACTGTCTTAGCATTTTTTTTGTTTGTTTGTCAATGTCCATATCTCCAGAAGGTAGCAGTATAACCCAATTATTTAAGAATACAGTATGCTACATTCCTGTGTCCCTCAATAGACAATAAAGACATTTCTTTTGTCATTGCTGTCAGTGCTGACCTCTCTTTCTGAAAATGTTGTCTGCCTGACTGCCATGTTGTGACTTTGGCTGTTGCTTTCCTTCTGGGAAAAAATAAAAAGAAACAAAATCTGGCTATTTATTTGGAGGAGTCTGGAAAAAGCTTGCACAGCCAGAGGGTGTCAGCTACGTTTTATATATTTTCTTATGTGTGCAATATTGGGTGCAATGGAGCACCTGTATCATGTGAGTGGCTCTTGTGTATTTTAATAAAATGATAGTTTTTAAATGATAAAGCACTATTGGTTTGTCTATGTATTTTTATATGTGGGCCGAGCAGAGGAGAAGGAAGGAGCTGGATCAACAATGAAGGAGAATCTTGGTAGAAGTCATACCATCAATATATGTCCACCTAAAGGACTCAAGCCATTTTTGACCAAACTAAGTTGTGAGGTTAAGAATTTCAAGTGAGAGCACATCTGGTGTCAGTGTTGGTGGAGGTGCACTATAATATGAAAAAAGGAAGAATTTTTGTCAGGGCTCCGGGGTGTGACCAGAGGTATGTGACTGACAGGGAAGCGCAGGCTTCAGATAAGTTATAAACAATATAATTTATTAAAGACTAACAATACAAACATAAACACAGTGCAATACTAAAACATAACACAGTGCAAACGAACCAAACCAAACCACCCACAGATAACAGTACATACAATGCAAGCGTCGTCAGGCAGGCCGGGTCAATAACAATCGGGCAAGTAGGTACAGGGGGTCAGGCAGAGAATGTCGGGGTCACAAGCCAGGGATAAAACAGGATAAGTCAGCAGAGGTCCGGATCAGGCAGGGTCAGCAACGAATCAGACAGAGACAGGGACAGGAACAGGGACAGGAATGCAGGAACAAGATACAGGGCCCAGGAAAAACACACACCAAGGCAGAGACTGCAGGTCTGGCCATCCCTTAAATACACCTGCATGATCAACTTCAGGTGTTTGGCTGGCTGCAGGGTTGAGTCTCTGATTGCCGGGAGCACCCGCTGGCCAGCCCTGGTACTGCAGCCCACAAGGCAGGTGGGTCCCACCATTACTGGCAAGTCCATTCCTGACAGTACCCCCCTCAAGGAGCGGCCTCAGGACGCTCCAAACAGTCCTAGCTGGGCAAAATGTTCCACCGCCCGGGTCTGGTAACTGGCGGGATATCAAAGACTGGCACATCGGGCAGGACTCCGAGCAGCGGCACACCGGGCAGGACTCGGGCAGCGGCACACCGGGCAGAGGCACATCGAGTGGACTCCGGGCACAGGCACATCGGGCAGGACTCCGGGCAGCGGCACATCGGGCAGGACTCCGGGGCAGCGGCACATCGGGCAGGACCCCAGCGGCACATCGGGCAGAGGCACATCGAGCTGGACTCCGGGCAGCGGCACATCGGGCAGACTCTGGGCAGCGGCACATCGGGCAGGACTCCGGGCAGGACTCGGGCCGGCACATCGAGCTGGACTCCGGGCAGAGGCACATCGAGCTGGACTCCGGGCAGAGGCACATCGAGCTGGACACCGGATCACCAGGGGGAGCAGCAGGCACCGGGCCACCAGGCGGAGGCGGGCGCCGGGCCCCCAGGGCGGGGTGACAGGCATCGGGCCCCCCGGAGGGGACACAGGCATCGGACCCCCAGGCGGGGAGACAGGCATCGGGCCCCCAGGTGGGGCAACAGGCGCCGGGCCTCCAGGCGGGGCGGCGGGCGCCGGGCCCCCAGGCGGAGCGGCGGGCCCCCAGGAGGGGCAACAGGCATCGGGCCCCCAGGCGGGGCGACGGGGCACCGGGCCCCCAAGCAGAGCGGCGGGCACCGGGCCCCCAGGAGGGGCGACAGGCACCGCGCCCCCAGGAGGGGGGCGGAAGACACCGGGCCCCTAGGCGGAGCGGCGGGCACCGGGTCATCAGGCACGACAACGGGCATCGGGTCACCAGGCATCAGTTCATTTGGCTCGCCAGTGGGCACCGCGTCATCTGGCAAGGCAGTGGGCACCGAGTCACCAGGCACGACAGTGGGTTCCGAGTCAACTGGCATGACCGCGGGCACTGGGTCAGACATTGGTTCGTCTGGCTGGACAGCGGGCATCGGGTCACCAGGCATCAGGTCATTTGGCTCGACAGCGGGCACCGGGTCATCAGGTACCGGATCGTCTGGCTCGACAGCAGGCATCGGGACACCAGGCATGACAGCGGGCACTGGGTCATCAGGCATTGGATTGTCTGGCTCGACAGCGGGCATTGGGTCACCAGGTATGACAGTGGGCTCCGAGTCACCAGGCATGACCGCGGGCACTGGGTCAGACATTGGATCGTCTGGCACGACAGCGGGCATCGGGTCACCAGGCATGACAGTGGGCACCGGGTTATCAGGTACCGGATCATCTGGCTCGATAGCGGGCACCGAGTCGTCTGGCTTGACAGCGGGCACCGAGTCGTCTGGCGCGACAGCGGGCACCAAGTCGTCTGGCACGACAGCGGACACCGAGTCGTCTGGCAAGACTGCGGGCACCGAGTCGTCTGGCAAGACTGCGGGCACCGAGTCAACTGGCGGAACAGCGGGCATCGAGTCAACTGGCGGAACAGCGGGCATCGAGTCAACTGGCGGAACAGCGGGCACCGAGTCAACTGGCGGAACAGCGGGCATCGAGTCAACTGGCAGAACAGCGGGCATCGAGTCAACTGGCGGAACAGCGGGCATCGAGTCATCTGGCAAGACTGCGGGCACCAAGTCAACTGGCGGAACAGCGGGCATCGAGTCAACTGGCGGAACAGCGGGCATCGAGTCAACTGGCGGAACAGCGGGCATCGAGTCGTCTGGCAAGACTGCGGGCACCGAGTCAACTGGCAAGACTGCAGGCACCGAGTCAACTGGCGGAACAGCGGGCATCGAGTCAACTGGCGGAACAGCGGGCATCGAGTCGTCTGGCAAGACCGCGGGCACCGAGTCGTCTGGCAAGACCGCGGGCACCGAGTCGTCTGGCAAGACCGCGGGCACCGAGTCGTCTGGCGAGACTGCGGGCACCGAGTCGTCTGGCGAGACTGCGGGCACCGAGTCAACTGGCGGAACAGCGGGCATCGAGTCGTCTGGCAAGACTGCGGGCACCGAGTCGTCTGGCAAGACTGCGGGCACCGAGTCGTCTGGCAAGACTGCGGGCACCGAGTCAACTGGCGGAACAGCGGGCATCGAGTCAACTGGCGGAACAGCGGGCATCGAGTCAACTGGCGGAACAGCGGGCATCGAGTCGTCTGGCAAGACTGCGGGCACCGAGTCGTCTGGCAAGACTGCGGGCACCGAGTCAACTGGCATAATAGGATCATCAGGCTGGATCAGTTCATCATGCTGGGTAGAGGCATCAGGCTGAATGGAGGCATCAGGCTGAATGGAGGCATCAGGCTGAATGGAGGCATCTGGCTGAATGGAGGCATCTGGCTGGGTAGAGGCATCAGGCTGAATTGTGGGCGCCGAGGCACCAGGCTGCACCATGGAAGGCAGGTTCTCAGATGGGAGGCTGACCGGTTTGGATACTGGCAGGATGGTATTGGTTGGAAAGAACTTTCGCCTTTTCCTGGTTTTAGTTACCGGAGTACTGTAAGTAAGCGCAGGTTTGTAAATGGATGGAGCAGCTGGAGACAGAGAAGAGCTGGAGGATGGAACAGGGGAGGGAACAGTTGCTACAGAGGGCTTCGTTACAGGGTTAAAGGCAGGATAGGTGCAGCGAGTGGGAACAGGGTACAGACATGCGGTAGATAGCAGGGTATACTGGGCTGTAACTGGAGGTGCTGTTGGGAATGCAGGAATAGAGCTTTGAAGAAATAGGTTAGAAGCAGGACTGGGTTTTTGCAAGCTGACTGAGGCTGGGTGTAACAAATCTGACCATGTCTGTAATACAGGTTGAACGAAGCTCAACTTACACATAGCCTGTCTGACCAAAGACTGCACTGCGTTTATGCAATCCATAAGCACATGTGATGGACAAGCTGCATAATGCTCATGGAAGCAATCTGGATCCTCCTCCAACAACCATACCAGTGATTCCACTTGATCTGCACTAAATGGTGGAAAAAAGTCATCCCTGCTTTCAGGGGTACAGGACAGAGCCAACTCAGCACAAACCTGGATCAATGGTTGTACCTCAGAAAACTCCATGCCCCGATCCACTAGTGAATGAGCAACCTGCATGCACTCTAGCAGCTGATCCCTGGCATACTTCTTCAGAATCTGATAGCTGTATACTCTGTCTTCCAGGACTAGCAAAGACAAGTACTCAACCTCCTTAGGATGCATCCTCCACAAACAACAAGCCAAGATGGCTTCCCTGTGTGGCCACTTCTGGTCAGGAATGGCCTTGGTGTAATGTCAGGGCTCCAGGGTGTGACCAGAGGTATGTGACTGACGCAGGGAAGCGCAGGCTTCAGATAAGTTATAAACAATATAATTTATTAAAGACTAACAATACAAACATAAACGCAGTGCAATACTAAAACATAACACAGTGCAAACGAACCAAACCAAACCACCCACAGATAACAGTACATATAATGCAAGCGTCGTCAGGCAGGCCGGGTCAATAACAATCGGGCAGGTAGGTACAGGGGGTCAGGCAGAGAATGGTCGGGGTCACAAGCCAGGGATAAAACAGGATGAGTCAGCAGAGGTCCGGATCAGGCAGGGTCAGCAACGAATCAGACAGAGACAGGGACAGGGACAGGAATGCAGGAACAAGATACAGGGCCCAGGAAAAACACACACCAAGGCAGAGACTGCAGGTCTGGCCATCCCTTAAATACACCTGCATGATCAACTTCAGGTGTTTGGCTGGCTGCAGGGTTGAGTCTCTGATTGCCGGGAGCACCCGCTGGCCAGCCCTGGTACTGCAGCCCACAAGGCAGGTGGGTCCCACCATTACTGGCAAGTCCATTCCTGATAATTTTACAGCATAAGTTTTTTTGAGATGAAAGGATCACGCTGTGGAGATGGACTGCATTAGTTCAAAGTTATTGTGCATAATGTTTATTATAATTTTTTCACTACCTACTTCACATTGGGAATATTTTTATGCCAGCATTTTATGTCACTATGTAGATTTGAGAGAAGCGCGGCACGGTTATTGTATAAAATTGGGATTTTTGCTGACTTTAATTTGCTGCATGCTTCTTGTTTTTCCATATATTTTCCTTATTTTTTTGTATTAGGTTCTGTAAAAAAAAAACATGTTTTTGTTATCAATGAATGTTTCTCATTCTCCTTGATATTTACCATTTTACAATCAGTAGGGGGTGAATGGACTGGCAGTACAGGGTTTCATATCACTAATTAACTGTTGAGCTGTCACCTACGCTACATGTACACAGCGGAATGCATTAGCTGACTGACTCATACTCCTCCTCCTCTAATAGACACAGTTATGTCCAGGGGCGGACTGACAACTCATGGGGCCCCTGGGCAATAGGGGATCATGGGGTCCCTGTGTCTTTGCCCACACTCAAAAAAGCCTATATAAGTTGCCAGGGGCATTTCATGGGGCTTCCTACTGACCCTGGGTCCTCAGGCAGTGCTCGAATGGTCAGTCCGCCGCTGGTTATGTCTATATCTTTAGGCCCCATGCACAGTAAGTGTTTAAGTGCAGGTAGAAGGTATGGGTGCACCATCCAGCCCTTTAAATGTTTATAAGAGACATATAGCTGCTGTGGTTGAAGGGCGCATTGAGCTGTACTTATGTTAAGGGCAGGATGTGCCCAAGCACAAATGTCCAGGACGCAGTCTTCAGGTAGAAACACACAGGCTGTGTGGTTGTGTGCTTCTTTTGATGTACACAGTGTAGGGAGATACAACTCTAGTCCCTGCAAGCAAGGGTGACTCCACAGGATGCCATCCTGAAGCTGGAAACCTGGGCTAAGAGTCACAACACCAGCTTCAACATGAACATAAGCAGGGCATAAAAGGTAAAGAAGCTGCAGTAAGAGAGTCAATCAGCTGCTGAAAGTGCTTAAAAAAACGAGGGTTTAATATCACTTTAACTGTAGAGGTAATAGAAGTATGAGAATGTTCTATTTTAGGGTGAATTAAAGCCCATCTAGTAGAGCAGAAGACCCAGAGAATAGTCTACAGGGCAGATCAGTTCTAAGTGAGCCACCGACAACATATGGTAAAGGCCTGACTATATACCCGGAATATAGGAAATGGTGCATGGAAAGGGGAGAGAGAGAATTATGGGAGAGTGCAATGAAATTTACAGTCAGAATTATGTATCCATTGGTTAAATAATGTAGACAGGAGGAACTTGTGGGAAACTAAGACTAACTTCGCTGCTGTGCATGCGCAGCTTAGTGTAGAAGAATTGCTGCACCTGCCGAGATGTGTGAACTCCCGCACATGTGTGGGAGTGACATCAACTCAGCCCACCAAATCAAAGCCTCAACATACAGCCTACAGCTTGCACTCAGTGACTCCCCTGCTCAGTGGATCTATGACTCCGTACGTTCATCACATAAATCCATCCATCCATTTACATGAACATCCCAATACTTGAGTGTTATTATCAATACCACCACTATTACTATAACTATTATTGCAACACTATGATACCCTATTACTTATAGAAGAGATGTGCTATTACATTTGAATAATATAGCATATATACTATTATTGGTATACTATTACTGGTATCTTTCATGGTTGTTCATGCACACCATATACAATGTATCATAGAATATATAATATATTATCGCTTTCACTCATCCAGATCATGATATTTGCTTTTGATGTATTTTGATGTTTTATACATATATTTATACATTTTAGCCACATTGCATTCATTATGTTATAATTTGTATCACATTACTCCATGCCCCTGTGAGCTGGAAGGAAGGCCCCCATGTAACCTTTGAGGACTCATTAGTGAGCCTATATACAGTAAGAGAGAGACAGACATCTAGTCATTTGGCGCTAAGGAAGAGGCTAGCCCTCAAAACACGTCCGCCTTTTGGATGTCCAGAGTTCTCACTACAGATAGACACGCAGTGTGAATTGGACAGAGCTGCTCCTTTATGATGTGCCTTTTATTAATTGATCATTTGTGAGTATAATACTAATTTTTTACATTCATTAAACATTTTTAAGGTAATGCACTAGGCCGGTGCGCCCTCTTTTTGTTTTTCTCTATTCAGTACTTTGGACTCCCCCAGTCCTTTGAGGGCAGCAAGGTGTGCATATCCCAAGAATTTCCATATGTGGTCTTAATGACATTGAGTCCATCCCCAAGTGCAGGAGAAAACTGGGTTGTCCACTTCTACACCCAGTCAACACAGCTGAAGATTGGGAATACACAGATTGGCACACAAAGATGTCAGTGGCCAGTGATGGAGCTCCAGGATACCATTTTGGTGAAGTAGAGGTGGGTATAGCTCCATTTTAATTGCTAACTACAGTATATCCTTGTTGGATAGATTCTGCTGATTTCCTGTCCCA